TTATTGCACTCGTTGAATAAAATAATATTATGCTCGCCAGAGGCTCGCATAATATAATTTTATTCAACTCGTGCAATAAATTCAGTATTGAACTTACACTCATTCAATATCCTCTATTTATCACACACCCGTGCCGATTTTGCGACTCCGTAAATATGGTATTGCACGGCCGTGCATATATTTTGACGTGACGTCATTAGCGTTATACAAACATAGTGTAAAGACGCGCTAAATGTTAGCGTTATACTATAGACGCGTCAATGAAAAATGACTCTTATTTCACTTTAAACGGTCTTTATTTTGGGTATGTGATAAATAGAATATTAAATTCGTGTAAGTTCATTACTGAATTTATTGCACTCGTTGAATAAAATAATATCCGTGAAGTCCGTGCGCGTCAACAACAGACTGTACCGTAATAACTTTAAAGCCTTCGAATAGGTGAAGATTGTCTTAAAGTCTTTGGTGCTTTTTTATGATGAGTACTATGTTAACATTGGAAGGAATATGGCAGCAAATTATCTATAGATTTGATAACTTACTTTTTCACAAAAATAAAATAATGTAATGGACAGCTTTATTTTATGAAAAAGAATTGATGCTATTTTTATCAAAACCAAAAGTACTGCCTAGTAATGCAGTAGCAGTACCACGTTTTAAGATAGTAATTCAGTACCAGTATTAACAAAATTTTGCAAGAGTAATTCAGTATCAGTATTTGCAAAATCGCTGCAGTACGTTTTTGCAGTACCAGTACTGCAGCTCTGGTCACCAGTCATACCCTTTATGAGTTAATTTTGAAGCTCAAAGTGGTATGCTGTATCAATGATGCTTTTTTTTTTTTTTTTTTTTGATGCGTTTATTTAAGGTTGCCGCCGGAAAGTCCATATGAGCAATACACTCAAGTCGGGTCATCCTAGAGCGCCCGCCGAGATTTTTCGTCGATTTTTTTCCAGCTTTATTGGTGGAGGAAGACCCCAGGTGCCCCTCCGGGCATTATTTCAGGCACGAGCGGACACCTGGGTAGAACCACCGAAAGCAAAATTATTAAAGTTTTATGCCTGAAATCTTCTTTATATTGACAAATTCAATCACTAATAGTATACTTGATATGCTGTTTGTAAATGTAATTCAAAATGTAAGAAATTACAATTTTATGTAGCCCGGGGTTCTATGATATCAAGGTAGTCTTCTTTAACGTTTATCGGAAAATGTTTAAATATAAATATCATAAATGAATTTTTCTTCCATCTTAAATTGAACCTTTTCCAGAACTGTTTGTCATAAAATTATTTCAAAAGAACCAATAAAAATGACATTTTTTAGAATATTTTCAATGCCTGCCATTTTGGGTCATTTCAGAGGAGGTTACTATGGTATCAAGGTAATCCCCAAAAAAGCAGATATGGAAGGATTGATGGGTCAAAACTTTCAAGTTAAGTTGAGGAAAACTTCCATCAGTTAACTTGCTATAAAATTAAAATTATATGAACAGATTATATGTCAGTATATGTGTAAATAACATATTTTAATTGACTGTGTAAAAACCACTAAGGAAAATGGTAGTCAAATATGAAAGTTTTATAAAATAGTTTTCTTGCCACAAATACATTCATTATTCACCAAATTAAATTTATTGGCAGATGAAAATGAATCTAGTGTGCAAGTTTTACAAATATTAGCATCATCATGTGTTGCTTTTACTAGCAGTCAAAGAAAATTTAAATACCTTGATATCATAGAACCCTTGATATCATAGGAACCAAGTATACTACTTAAAAAGGGAAATAACAAATGTATAACCTAAGTGTCAAAAATCAAAACATTTATAGCTATTTATAGCTTTCGAATTCATGTACAGCAGAACTGCTTTCCGGTTCTCATTCATTAATATGACATGTTGCGAATCACCGAAGGGGAAACCAATATAGAAATCGAAAGGAGTTCTTGAATGCGGATTTATTTTTAGCTGTAAATCGAAAGGATTAAATGATCAAATCCGGGCCCATGGACAAAAATATAGTAAACACAAATAGCTCCGCGCCTGTGGGCTCGGAGCAATAATCTCGTAAACCTGTACCTTTATTACATTCTGAGACCCAAACAAATTCAGCGCCTTCTGTGCTTTGATTCATATATGGTGCTGAAGCACTTTTCAAATATAATTTTGTGGACAAACTTTAATTCATTTTATACAGAATTTATTATGCCCCTACAAAGTTGGGAGCATATAGCGTTGCACTTGTCCGTACGTCTGTCCGTCCGTACGTCAAACATTTTGGATTTAGGGGCTATATAACAGTAGAGAGAACAAAAGAGAACAATAGGTTCATTCCGTGATCAAAGGGTTTAGGGGCTAGTAGCCCTTAAGAAAACAAATAAATAGGCCCTAAAGCCAAAATGTTGGAACGTCCGTCCGTACGTCCCGAAATCTTGTGAACGCAACTCCTATTAAACCGGATGGCAGATTTTGCTTAAACTTCCAGGGACGAACAACCTTAATGTGTAGATAATAGGAAAGCAAGGAATTTTTGCTGCGAATTATGGTCCTTTATTGATTTTTTTTACTATATACTATGTAGAAATTTTGTGAACGCAACTCCTCTTAAACCGGATGGCAGATTTCGCTTGAACTTCCAGGGATGAACAACCTTAATGTGTAAATGGTAGTGAAGGAATGAATTTTTGCTGCGACCAAATTTAACAGAGTTATGGCCCTTTGTTGATTTTTTACTATATACCATTTAGAAATTTTGTGAACGCAACTCCACTTAAACCGGATGGCAGATTTCGCTTAAACTTCCAGGGATGAACAACCTTAATGTGCAGATGGTAGTAAAGGAAGGAATTTTTGCTGCGACAAAATTTTACAGAATTATGCCCCTTTGTTGATTTTTTCACTATATACCATATAGAAATTTTGTGAACGCAACTCCTCTTAAACCGGATGGCAGATTTTAATAAAAAGTTCCACATTAAAATCTTACATACAGATATGCATGTTCTTGTTTACGAGCACATTTGCACAATATGGGCATCCGTGTCCTTTGGACACAGTTCTAGATTTAGTTGATTGCGTAGAAAAAGACAGTCTCGAATCCGTCCCTGAAACCACAGAGCTATAAGCTTTGTAATATCAGTCTTTGTTGAAGTGAATACGAAGCAATGAAATAATTCTTACTGAAGGAAACAACAGGGTAGCAATTTCTCAATACCTTTTGAGATGATAGTTGTGAAAATGGGCTCTGTTAAAATATAGAAATTTTAATTGTTCTCATTCTTTAGTTACTATTTGACATGAAGAAGTCCACTTTTAGACCTTCATGGCATAGATAGATGAAATCTTCCACAAACACATCTCTAGTAGCTCTCCATATACATGTACACTGAGTTTACTCAACCTATCTGTAGTCTATGTGACCTTTTACCTGGTAAGCTTATGAAGTGATTTTGCTCGGCTGTGAACTTGGAACAGTTCATTCAAATTCTGAGAGATTGGTATTAGATATTTAATGTATTTATACAAATGAGCTACCGGAGTGACCAAATGGTCCCTCTGTATGGATGTGACTATAGGCTCTGTACTGGTTGCCTTTTTAGGGTCACTAGTCCTGTTAGTTTTGTAAACGTATTTAGTAATGCCTAGCATAAACTCTTATGGTAGATTCATATGTTTTTCCCATACATATAATAAGAAACCCTAGGAGTAGGGTAAATCTTTACCCCAAGGGTTATAATTTATCTAAATGTAGCATAGGACAATAAGGTTATGCTTTTACAGTTTTGGGCATTATAGTTTCTAAGTAAAATATCTTTTGAATACAATATACTTCCTTATATTAGAGAAAAAAATCAATTAAATCAATAATCCATTTTCACAGACGTTCACCAACCAGGCAAATTGCTACTTTTGGTTGGGTTTCACATCACGCCAACTCAATAAAGGAAAGATTTAAATACTGGTGCATTATTTCAGACATAAAATATACAGACACTTCTTCTCTTGATTGTTTTCTTTTATTTTTATATTCAATTCATTTGATAAGGAAGTTTATTGTTCTTATTTTCTAACTAGATCAGACGTGGGTAACATGTTTGTTATAGATCTAATAATTTTATTTCAGAAAACAATTGTTAAATTGTACTAAGTTACAATATGCAATAAAAATGTTGAAAGTTTGTCAATATCTTATTATCATATATTTCTTAATAAGTTACAAAGAAAATATATTGACTACAGGTCGCAAATAACTTAAATATATTCGCCGATTAAAGGCGTTAAAACTATGTAATAATTCTGTACCATGTAAGAAAAAAATCACATTTTCTGGCGGTACCGCGAAGCAAAATTCACGTACATTGGCGTTACCTCTTAAAAACGGCTTGAATCACATTTAATAATTTTATTTTTAATTTTTTATAGCATAAGAAGATTAGTATGTCACTTGCTTACCGAAAATCGAGAATATACGGAATAATGTGCATTGTTGTTATACTTATAAGAGCCGACAAAAAGCCAAAATATCAATCAAAACATCATTTTCACGAATGATATTGTGTTCCTGCCAGCAACCCGATTTCGGTGAAATGGATTCGCAATCTGGAGGATTGACTTCGCAAAATACAACTGCAACTCTAATGACTGATAGCATTCACTTTATTTTACCTTTTATTAAATGCTAACGTAAAAGAACGTTGCAAATACGCAGTTATTTATAACAATTTCGATGAAAAATCTTTGCCTCCAAAAAAGCACAAAAAGGCGTCCAAAAACTAAGGGAAGCAACTCATTTCTTACTGACACGTAAAAAGTCCAACACATACCGTACCTTAACCGTAACATGGCTCCCTAAAATTAGAAATTTCTAATTTTACAATAAACAAGTACAGATTATACAATAAAAAATGTATTGTCAAATATACATCCTTTTCAAAACAAACATTTCTGAATTCAAATACATACAATTTAGTTCAAACACTTAAGGCTCTCCGACGGGGAATTACTCCTTCTCTTGCAATAGAACTAATTTGTGAATTGGCCTATCTAAGAAACACATAATATTTTTACGTTTTCCCTTATTGTCCAACATAGGATCCCCTACTAAAACTCTTACTTTGCGAACCAAACTATCATTACTAGAAAATACCTCGGACACTTTACCTAAGCGCCACTGACCTCGCGGAAGGTTCTCGTCTTTAATCATAACAATGTCATCAACGCAAAGATTTCGCTGAGCCGAAACCCATTTTGTTCTGATTTGCTGATTTTGTAAGTATTCTTTTGACCACCTAGTCCAAAATTCATTAGCTAGAAATTGAATTCTGCGCCAACGTTTCCGCGAATACATGTCAGACCTTTGAAATTTGCCAGGCGGTGGAAGAATTAATTTTGACTTAGAAGTAAGTAAGTGATTTGGAGTAATTGGATCAGCAGAGAGTGGATCATTTAGGTTTGTTACAGACAATAGGCGACTGTTAACAATTGCCGCAGCTTCACACATAAAGGTATGAAGAGCCTCATCATCTAACTGAGTACCATTTTGAAGCATCAGAGGCGATAGAACATTACGAATAGAGCGAATCTGCCGCTCCCAGATGCCACCCATATGGCTTACTGAAGGCACGTTCATTTGAAAATGAAAATCACAACCTTCATTTAACAGAAATTGACTAATCTGATCAGTGTCCATCTCAGAAAGTGCTTCCTTGAGTTCATTCTCAGCGCCAACAAAGTTTGTACCACGATCAGATCTTAAAAGGCATACGGAACCACGAATCGCAATAAAACGGCGAAGAGCATTGATGAATGAACTAGTGTCAAGAGAGTGAGCAACTTCTATGTGAACGGCTCTGCAGGAAAGACAAGTGAACAAAACCCCGTAACGCTTCATTTCCTTTCGACCTTCTCTAACATAGAATGGTCCAAAATAATCAACTGCCGAATATGTAAAGGGGGGTGCAGGTTCTACTCTATCGGCTGGCAAATCTGCCATTTTCTGCACCTGCAGGGAACCTCTGAGTTTGCGACAAAATACACAACGAGATATCATATATGACACGGAAGAACTACATCCAATGACCCAAAAACCATTTGCCCTGATCTCATTTACAGTCATTCCACGACCTTGGTGATTTATCCTTTCATGAAAATATCTCATGATAAGGTTAGTAACATGTCCCTTTCTTGGTAAAATAATAGGATGTTTCTCACCCAAAGTATGTTTCAACTTAGAAAGACGTCCACCAACCCTAATTATACCATCACTATCTATAAAAGGATCCAACTGTCTAATCAATGAGTTTTTACGCAATGACTGATTTTGATACTTGGGAGGGCTCTTCTCATGGGAGGCAACTGTCACAGAAGACAATAGCTGATATTCCTTATCAAAGGCATCCCTTTGAACTATCTTAATTATTTCCCTTTCAGCCCTTTGAACTTCCGCTACTTGAATTGGTAAATAGTTACCCTTTATTTTTGACTTAATATCACTCGTGGTAGATACAATACCAGACCATTTGACAGACCTTTGAATAAGCATGTCTTTAAACCTGAGACAAACTGCAACTGACTTCTTTGCACGATTCCAATCGGAAAAGTAGGTCAAACGTTCAATAACATCATTCTTATAAGAGAACGCACTTGAACTAAAAACAGAGCATTTCTTCACCTCAGGATCTACAGAAGAAATGGTCCGAACTGTATCATCTTCATTTAAAGGCGGAATGTTGGGTTCCCACAAGAAACTGGGACCAGTGAACCAATTCGACTCTAACAATTCACGAGAGAAAGCACCCCTAGAAGCAATGTCAGCTGGATTATCAGCAGTTTTGACATATCTCCACTGTTTGGGTTCCGTAAGATCTCTAATTTCTTGTATTCTGTTCGCAACGAATACATGGAATCTACGAGAGTCATTAGATATATATCCAAGCAACTACGTTACTATCCGTCCAATACCACTGCTCTAGACCATCAAAATCCAATTCATTTTGCAAGAAGTTGCTAACTCTAACTGAAACAACAGCTGCATTTAGCTCTAAACGTGGAATGGTAACTTGTTTTAAGGGGGATACTCTGGATTTGCCCATTAACAAAGAACAATGAACACGATTTTCTGAGTCTACCAGTCTTAAGTATGAACATTGCCCATAACCCTTTGTACTTGCATCCGAGAAATTGTGCAGTTCAGCTTGAACAACATCACCAAAGTTTTCTGGTTTCACACACCTTCTGACACGCAAAGTTTCCAAATGATGAAGATCCATTCTCCATTTCTCCCATTTGGGTCTACAATCGTCAGGAAGTGGACTGTCCCAATCAATTTGGTCCTTACACATTTGCTGAAGCATTTGCTTACCTACCAAAATAACAGGTGATAGAAAACCAAGAGGATCATAAACAGAACTCAAGGTCGACAGAACACCACGTCGAGAGAAAGGTTTGTCCTTCAGAGTAATACGAAACTGAAAGGTATCATACTCCACGCACCACTGGATACCTAAGGCACGTTCAACTGGCAAATCATCACACATCAAATCATTATCTTTTAACGCATTGGATCTATCACTGACTGGTCCATGACTTAGTACCTCCTTGGAATTTGACAAGAACTTGTGTAAATGTAAACCACCCTTAAGACACATCTCTCTACTTCTATCTATCAGACTTATGGCATCTTGGACAGAAGGCACAGCCTTAAGGCCATCATCAACATAGAAATCTCGCCTAATGAAACTTGCCACATCGGGACCGAACTCAGCCGCATAGTCAGAAGCTACCTGTTTCAGAGCAAAATTAGCACAACCGGGAGACGATGCTGCTCCAAATAAATGAACAGTCATGCGATACTCTTCAACAACGTCATTACAATTACCGCCTTACCACCACAGGAACCTTAAGAAATCGCGATGTTTCTGGATTTACTCTAAATTGATGAAACATCTGCCGAATGTCACAAGTAAATGCCACACTTTCCTTTCGAAATCTACATAGAACCCCGACCAAATGACTTGTCAAATCTGGACCTTGTAACAAATGACTGTTGAGTGACCTGTCTTTGTATTGTGCACTACAATCAAACACTACTCTGACCTTATCAGGTTTTTGAGGGTGGCAGACACCATGGTGTGGTATGTACCATACACAGCCATCATTGCGTTCATCTGCCGTGTCAGGAACTTTCTCAGCATGGCCATTCATTATCATTTCATTCATGAAGGTCACATAACGATTTCTATATAAACTGCACCTTTTAAATTTTGACTGCAACTGTCTCAACCGATGGAGAGCTGATGGTTTATTGTTAGGCAAGTTTGGAACACCATTTTTAAATGGTAATGGCATCTCATAATGTCCATCTATCATATGTATACCGTCATGCAACACTGCAAGAAACTTTTGGTCTTCTTGTGAAAGAGATGTCTTGTCAGATTTATGGTACTCGCTAAAGTCTAGCTCCATCATCTTCGCAACCTCATTAGGATTGACCAGCTCTTTAACCCTGTTTCTGAATGACAATAGGACATGAGTAGGACCAAGTACACCCGGCTTATTAATGGTTAAATCTGGAGAGACTTCACAAGAGATGATGCGATGACTAACTCCAATTTGATCATATTCGCTATCACTAGTACTGTCTAAGCCTGTGATGCCAACTATTCCCCAACCCAAGTCCGTCCTCTGGGCATATGGACCATCGTCAACTGGGCAATAATCTCACGTGGGAGAGTGCTCTTGAACAATCGTAGCCAATAAGAAGTCCTACTTCGCAATCACTTACAGGCATCAATTTGTCCGCAATGTGTTCCAAATATGGCCACTTCCTGGCTATCTGAGGTGATGGAATATGTGATCGATTGGCTGGCATTATGTTTCGCGTATACGCATTAGGAATCTCCAAACGCAAATCACTATCAAAGGCACGCACAACTAAATTCTTAATCCGCCTTGTAGTGACAGTACGGTTTTCCGCATGCATAGTAGAAAGCAAAAGCTTGGTTTCTACACCGTCAATGCCAAGTTCTTGACATGTATCATCGAGTATGAATGTCGTATCTGACTGAGTGTCAAGAAGAGCATACACAAGCCTTTCTTTAGGATTATCTTGCTGAGACACATATACTGGCACTATCATTGAACACTTAAGACTAGATTTGGTATCACTCATAAAAGACGCATTTGAAAGAGATTTGACAGTGACAGAGGTATTTGGTACAGGAGGTTGTGGTTCGGTCTTTATCACTGATTTGGTACTAGTATTGCCCACTGAACTACTAGAAACTACATTTTGTTTCTGCAAATCACCATGTAGAGAAGACGGGTGATATTTTGAACAAGTTTTGCATTGTTTTCTCTGTTTACAGTTCCTCGAAATATGACCAGGTTTGAAACAAGAAAAGCACAAACTATTCTCTTTTACAAAGGTCTTTCTTTCTTCTATAGACTTAGCAAGAAAAAGAAAGCAATCATCCAAATCATGATTTCTTTTACAGAAATGACAAATAACCTTAACTGATTGTGAAACACTAGAAGGAGGCTTAGACCTAGTTTCAGTCAAATAAGAATGACTTCTGACAGGCTTTCTCAACTCTTCGTGCTTATAACGCCTATTTAAATGATCTGGTTCAGAGCGTTGTTGATCTCCTTTCAAAGATTGCAAAGATGTCACTGGATCGCATGCAACCTTGGCCTCACTAGCAATAAACTTTACAAACTCAGAAAAGGGAGGAAATGACCCAAACCTATCTTTCCACTGAACAACAGAACGATTCCAACGTGTTACAACCCACTCTGGAAGTTTTACTAACAACTTTCTGTTTTCTCTATCATCATCAAGACAACTGAGACTACTAATACTACGCATCGCAGTTTCACACTGTCGTAAAAAATCTGAAAACCTTCGAAGACCTTGGCCATCCCTCGCAGCTACCTTGGGCCATCTTTCTAATTTGTCACGAAACGCATTAGCCAAGATAAAGGGGTCACCATATCGCTCTTCAAGAAGTCTTTTCGCCTCATCATAAGAATCACTAGAAGTCAACAGAAAGTAGTTCTCAACCACCTCTTTAACTGGGCCACCAATATATCTCTTAAGATAATGAATTTTTTCTGAAGACGAAATATGACGTTCTTCAACAAGTGTCTGAAAGGCAACTTTCCATGCAGGGTATTTCAAAGGATCCCCAAAGAATATACCAGGTTCAGGTGGGGGCAATCTATTTAAACTAACTTGTTCAGCTAAAGATTTTGCAAGTTCTACAAAACCATGTTCAACAGGTGCCAAAACCTTATAATTCCCTGTGATGTCATGACCTTGACCATCCAAAGACGAAATTTCTGGTATAGCTAGTTTTTTATCAAGGGAAGTAACTATAGTATTTGATGGCATAGTGTTTTGCATTGAATCTCTAGGCCTAAAGGAATCTGCAGCAGGATTTAATAAAACAGCAGGGTTTGAATGAGTGGGTGGGGTATGACCAGTTTCAATTTTAGAATGACCTTCAGTATCTGAAATTTGACTAGTCAGATGTTTATCTGGAGTGCTTTTATTGTAAAGGTGCGAATGTGTGTCAACATAATCTTGAACATACTGTGTACTATCTTGTTCAGTTTTGAATGATAATGGTTGCTTCAGTTCTTCCTCAAAATCAAAGTGTTGTTTTTCGTACAAATTATCTAAAGTCTCTAACCTTGCCTTAACCATTTCTAACTTTTTGATTGTTGAAATTTTTTCTAAATGGGCCCGAGACTTAGCTTCCATATCAATGTATTTTAATTTTGCTTTTAAAGCAGCTGCTTCAACTGCTGGATGTGAATGTCTACTACTGGTAGAATTATATGATCGGTGCGATTTAATACTGGTAGAATTATGTGATCGGTGCGATTTACTACTTTTAGAAGAACGCACAGAATGCAAATCATCGTCTACTCTGAGTTCAGAAATTCGCTCAGAAATTCTACACATAATTTGCTGATGTTCCATCTCTATCTTTTCAAATGACTGATTGTAAGATGTTAAAAATTCAACATTTCCATTTAAACCTTTTAACGCTTCTAAAGAAGAGCATAATGCTTTAAATCTATTTTCAAGATTTGACCTTTCATCGCGCAATACCTTAACATCAGAAACATCTGAAATAGTAATAGAAACCTGAACAGATTGTCTACGCCAATCGGATATACACGACTTGAAAGCCTTTTCATTTAATTCTGCTCGGTATTGCATGCCTTTCTCTGTTAAGTTCCGTTCCCTTGAACTCGAGCATAATTCCAAAGTGTCAGTCAGAGTTTTAGTTTCATTATTATTCACCAAATTACCATCAAATGATTCACCTTCAGACATTTTGATTAAATGCCCTAATCTTAACAGAAAATTTAACCCCTGTTGAAAAGCGAACACTGACTTAATGATTAATTTCAATTAACGAATTGATTGTAAAAGTGTGGCTGGGCTTTCCCTGCCTACATTTCTATGTACCTGTTATAAACCTTAAAGAACACAATATGCACTATTTAAAATGAAAAAGCCATTAACCTTAAAGAACACAATATGCAATATTCAAAAATGAATAAGCTATTAACCCTAAAGAACACAATATGCACAATTTAAGATGAATAAGCTATTAACCTTAAAGAACACAATATACACTATTTTAAGATGAATAAGCTATTAACCTTAAAGAACACAATATGCACTATTTAAAAATGAATAAGCTATTAACCCTAAAGAACACAATATGCACTATTCAAAAATGAATATTAATAAAGCTATTAAATCAAAGTGATGAAAAGTCCTACACTGTATCAGTAAACATATGTGGCTGGGCTTTCCCTGCCTACAAAAATATACAGATATGCCTTTGTTATCTGTATAACACTGTTTGCATGAATTACACACTAATAACACTTAACGTAAATTTCAAAAATGGAATTCCAACAAATACTTAAAGAGTTCAAATAGTCAACTATGTAGATGAACAACGTATGTGGCTGGGCAATCCCTGCCTGCATACAATGTACCAATTGCTGATGTTCACAAACAGTCACGCGCTATAACTCTACACAATGACTTCAACCACGACTTCGCCAATCTAGAAGATGGATGAATGCCATCCGTTAAGAGGTTAAAATTCAGCGAGTATCTTCCTTTGCGGTTCTTCGCTTTGCGGCTTCTAACGAGATCTTGATTGAATTTTGGTGAAAATCCACCCGTAACTTCATTCAATTCATCGATGAAATTGTTGATTGTTGATATATCATCTGATAAACTTTTATCATCAGCTTTAAATATTTCCGGATTAGGATGCCCTTTCATATTATTCCATTTTTCTATCGAATAAAATGGTACGTGAAGAAAATGTATTTTCAGATTATTATATTTGTCACCAAGTGTCTTGAAACGTTCAAACTTGTTCTTGATTAAAGGAACAACATCTTTATTGAAGTAAATGAATTTATCAACCTTTTTTGTTAAGTCACATGTGCCTAACCATATGTACATTACAATTTTACCATATTTTTTAAGAAGATTCTCAATGTTGCGAGATAACCAAAAGTATGTATCTTCAGCATGTGCACCACCTTTGTAACACCATTGAATTTGTGTTTCAAGATGAATCGCTTTATTAACAGCTAACTTCAAGTATCGTCCTTTACTGTCACTAAGAACAACTGGTTTCCAGTTCAGATCTGTATAACTCTGTGATGAACTTGATGCTGTTGCGTTGCCTATATTCTTGTTAAGCCTGTTGTTACTTATGAGAATTGAGATGTCTAATTTCACAAATAACTTAAATCAAATGTCCAAAAATAACTATGTTCAATTTTTGTAATTGGAGGTATTTTTCCTTCCGTCAATTTCAAACCGTTCTTTTACTGTTCCTGCCAGCAACCCGATTTCGGTGAAATGGATTCGCAATCTGGAGGATTGACTTCGCAAAATACAACTGAAACTCTAATGACTGATAGCATTCACTTTATTTTACCTTTTGTTAAATGATAACGTAAAAGAACGTTGCAAATACGCAGTTATTTATAACAATTTTGATGAAAAATCTTTGCCTCCAAAAAAGCACAAAAAAGGCGTCCAAAAAAAAAACTAAGGGAAGCAACTCATTTCTTACTGACACGTAAAAAGTCCAACACATACCGTACCTTAACCGTAACATTTATAATCTGGTAGCCACATTTATATATTGACAAAGCATTATTGTTTCTTTATTTTTTATATCACTTCGTAATAATTGAGTAACATACTTGGTCTATTTCTATGATCATTTCTAATATATATACAGTCATGTATATCTGAAGTTTTCATATGCAGGACATGGAACTCATCCTCAGCTTCATTTGTATTGCAAATTAAACAACATCTTAAATTACGATCTACTCTTTCACGAGAATATCTACCTGTCTGTTTTTGAAATACGCAGTTTAAGAGCGGCGTTTTAGGACAAAAGGTTATGTTTCAGAACAATATTTCTTCACGACGAGTTCGATTGCGTTTCGTATTTCAATCGTTTCAGTTACAATGATTCATTTGAAATATCTTTATGACAGTGTTTATATTGAAATAAGTTTCTAAATAAAGAAACAACATTTTTACCATTGATTTATTTAATATTTCAGTATATTTTTTCAATGTAACAGTTACGGTACGATGTAAAGATTTTAATTGTGTGATTTTATAATAATATCAGATAAACATCAAATGATTGCTGAAAATTGTTCACTTTATCAATGATTACACATGAATAATCATTCTGTTGTAATTGTATGGTAAAAATAGGAATTGTGTAGAAACCGGAGTAATTAGTGTCAAATTAATATACATCAACTTAAAAAAGTTTAGAGGGTTTGGTTATCAAAAAAGTATATGGAGTGATTCTTAAATTTTACACATTTCTGTATAAAACCTTATTGAAAGAAACGGAATAAATTAATCTAATCATAATGCTATAAAAACAACAATACTATAAAATGAACATGTTGAACTTTCAAACACGTGAGTCTAAGAGGAAGATAAATATATTATATTAAGTAAATCCCCAACATTATTAAATATTGATATGTCAAATGAGTAATTTTTTTAAAAAACAATCCTAACTTTTGTTGGGAGGGAACTGATATAGTTGAATTAACTCAGCCATGTCAAATAACATAAAAATTATATATCAATGGGTAAAAATCTATATCATAAAATTGATCAACAGTAAAATTATATTGGTTCCATTATTGTATGGTTGATTTCCGAAAAAGTTTTAACATAGAATATCTCTGTTATCTTATACAAATGAATAATGTAAGTAAACAGAATAAAACTTTCCGGAACAAAAAACTACTTTGCTATTTCAAGTAGGGTTTAATCCGTTTATGTGCAATTCGCTTTTAAGACAATAAATTACCATATTTGTTTCATACAAGCATTTTGGAAGTATACTTTTTTAAAATTCAAACAATAATGTTGAACCTTTTCCCCATTTTAACTATAAACATCAGCATGAGAAATGTCAAAAACCGAATCGCCAATTAGATGTTTCGCTGTTAAAAGCTCTATTTTTATTCCAACACAAATACATGTATTTATCTGTATCTAGCCCTCGTTAAAAGTGTACTAAGCAGACTGCGTACACCGCAAGTGAAACTAGAAGAAAGATGAAGAGGATGTGAAATGATAAAAGAAGATTGGGATTATTAATAAGCAGCGCTATACAGGATTAGATTTTAAGATAACTGTTTAGTACTATGGGAGCCGAGCAATTACATGTAATTTCTTGAATAATTCTTTAGTGGGCAATGTATAGAAGGATAGAAGGGACAGAATGAATAGAAGGGGACCAAGGACTGATCCATTTTACCACTCAAATTATATATACATTGTACATTTGTTTAAAGAGCCTCTACTAACATTGTATTTATCACTAACCACATTTATTCATGTTAACATGAAATGTGTGTAATAAAGGAAATTTGAATTTGACTTTGACGAATATAATCTCTTTTATAAACAATGAGTAAAAACAATTCAAACAGTTAATTTAAGAAAGCATTCAGTTAAAAATGTAAAAGAAAAACACCGTTTAACATCGGAAGTCACTTATTATATATAATGCAAGCTGCAAAATATGTCAGAATATTCTATTTTATAATGCTATCACCGCCCCTTCTTCATGACCTTACTCTGTGTCTTTCATATGATTTATGTATGTGATGAAAAAATTATTTGAGTTAAGCTTAATTACTTTATTTGAACGTTTGACAATTACAATAATTAATAATTATAATGGTAGTAACGGTGATATCTGAGTAAAATTAGCTGCATGCACAGCGTTATTTTACGTACATAAATTTCAAAAGGTTGGTTTATTTTGATTAGGTTTGAATTTATTGAAATATAGACGTGTAGCTCTAAGCTTGCTTTATAATATTAAAACCGGTTAACATTATATGCTATACCTTGTCTGCACTTTGCCTTGGGATAATGATAATGGCACAATATTGAAATTCATTGTATTAAATGACTTTACCCTTATATGTCTGTGTAAAGGCTTTATTTAAATAAAAAACTTGATCCTGAATTTGGACTTGTGTACATATGTAAATTTATCTGTCCTTTTTAATTGATGCATATTTACTCAATTTTTTAAAATTTGTTTTTCAAAAGTGTTAAACATTTGAATTGCAAATTATCTTGTTGAATAAAATCATTCATTTTAATAACTCATAAATTTTGTGAAGTTTTTGTAGAATACTTTTAAATAGCTTCAAACTACAAAATATTTGCAAATGTGTCTGTAACCTCTGATTAATCAATGTTTCCTGTAATATCTTGTAAATATAAATTTTCTGTATCCTCTGGTTAGAACAATGTTCCTTCTAATGTCTCGTTTAAACCACTAGTACTATAGTTTCTTAATATCTTGTAAAACTAATGTTTCCTGTACCCACTTACAATCAATGTTTCCTGCAATCTCTTGTAAAAAGCAATGTTTCTGTTACCTCTGAATAATCAATATATCCCGAAATCTTGCGTAAGTACTATTGGTTCTTTTAGTTTCTGGTTATACGAACGTTTCATGTAATCTCTGATTAAACCTATGTTTCTGTAATATCTTCATTAACCAATATTTCCTGTAAACTCTGTTTAAAATAGAGAAAGCAAGAACCCCTAAAGAAAGTCCAACACAACACAACTGAAAATGTTGCAGGCTCGGTTTGATTGAGCCTGTTCATGGACGGTACTGTAAAGTGCAAACTACCGTCCACGCCCCCTAGCACCGGCTTAAGCAGAATTCAACATTTAAAATGCACTGGTACAATTTTAAATTTTGAAACATCCGCAGATGTGTTCATATGGCGGTTATCATGGAACCTTCAATGTGACACTAAGTGCCATTCCATGAAAAGCGGCATATGGTTCCCAAGTAATAAAATGCGTGTGGCCTTAACGAGAAAACAATGGGCTGAACTAAATAAAATGGAATTTTGAAAGGGGATCAGAGGTTATGAAGCCTGCATATAAACCAATATTTCTTGGAATTTCTGGTAAAATAATTTTTCCTTAAATATTTGATTAAACCAAATGTTTCATGCAACCTCATGGTTAACCCATTGTTTCCAGTTATATCTGATAAAGCCAATGTTTCTTGTAACTTCTGATAAAACCAATGTTTTTGTAACTTCTGATAAAGCCAATGTTTCTTGTAACATCTGATAAAGCCAATGGTTTTGTAACTTATGATAAAGCCAATGTTTTTGTAACTTCTGATAAAGCCAATGTTTCTTGTAACATCTGATAAAGCCAATGTTTTTGTAACTTCTGATAAAGCCAATGTTTTTGTAACTTCTGATAAAGCCAATGTTTCTTGTAACTTCTGATAAAGCCATTTTGTTCTTGTAGCTTCTGATAAAGCCATTGTTTCTTGTGAATTCTGATAAAGCCATTGTTTCTTGTAACTTCTGATAAAAATTTGGAAACAAAGTGATCCCTCGGCATTAATCACAACAAAATTACAAGAGAATTGCAGACTCGGTTTTATTGAGTCTGTACATGAGGGATAATCAATACTTGCAACATCCCTCACGCCCCCTAGCACCGGCTTGAGCGGTACTCTATTCTCAACACTTAATACTGCTGGCATCAATGATCCCGAAGGACCAGAAAAATATAACAACACTGAAGTGAAGTACGGGACAACTTTTTACAGCTGCCTCACAGCACTTGACACCTGCTGTTGTGAAGTATAAAAATCTGGAAACAAAGTGATCCCTCGGAAGCATTAATCACAACAAAATTACAAGCCATTGTTTCTTGTAACTTCTGGTAAAGCCACCGTTTCTTGTAACTTCTAATCAAGCCATGGTTTCTTGTAACTTCTGATAAAACAAATGTTTCCTTAACATATGGTTAAAACAATGCTTCTCAAACTAATGTTTTCTGTAACCTCTCGTCCAACAAATGTTTTCTTTGAAAAGCCCGCTGATCATTTTTACAAACGTGCATTTAAGACAGAGTATGAATTTAAACTTGGGTCAAATAGTGCTTTATTCTACTTTATTGCGCATTTTCTATGGCTGACTACCACATTTTTAGATATTACTTTATTAGCTATATTAAGGACGTTTTCGGGAGTTTCATATAGACATAAAGGCAAAATTAAAACTGTTCTATAGAATTTCTTTAAGCTTGGCATGTTGTTAGAATATGATAATAAAAACATTGTAAGCGAAAAATAAAATTGGGGTCACCGTTCTCGTTTTTGAGTTATCTCCTGAAACAGAATTTTCTACTTATTTGAGGTCATTTAAAGGGCAGATAACTTAAAGATACGTAAATGAATTCTTGTTTTTACTTCTGGATAATATTTTTCTTTTTAATCATATTCTAATAACATGTCAAGTTTAAAGAAATTCTATTGAACAGTTTTAATTTTGCCTATATGTCTATATGAAAACTCCGGAAAACGTCTTATAATGAATTTATAATTCAAAAAGCCTTAAAGAGAGAAAATTTGCGAAACAAAATTTACTGACAGTTATAGTAAATTCGAGTAAGTTTGCTTTATTTTATAATCAAGGGACAATGTTGGGAAAAATACATGTATATATGTATGAGAGAATATCATGAGAAAATACGAACCTTCACTAGGGGACTTTACATGTATTTGTGGTATGTATTGCACACTAGACTGCAGTGTACATATCAATAGAAAATTAGATATGGTTAAAAAAAAATATTTCTCTTTTCCAGTTCTGAAACTTTATTATACGAGTAATTGCTTAGAAGTACGTTGAAAGGTTATGTTTTACGTGGCAAGTTGTCATTATAAGTAAATATTGAGAATATTTAGGACAAAGAGGTTATATTTCTGCACAATATTTCTTCCCGACGAGTTCGATTGCGTTTCGTATTTCAATCGTTTCAGTTACAATGATTTATTTAAAATATCTTTATGACAGTGTTTATATTGAAATATGTTTCTAAATAAAGAAACAACATTTTTACCATTGATTTCCTTAATATTTCAGTATTTTTTCAATGTCACAGTTACGGTACGATGTAAAGATTTTAATTGTGTGATTTTATAATAATTTCAGATAAACATCACATGATTGCTGAAAATTGTTCACTTTATCAATGATTGCAAATGAATAATCACTCTATTGTAATTGTATGGTAAAACAGGAATTGTGAAGAAACCGGTGTAATTAGTGTCAAATTAATATTATTAATTTAAAAAAGTTTAGAGGGTTTGGTAATCAAAAAAGTATATGGATTGATTCTTAATTTCACACATTTCTATATATAACCTAATTAAAAGAAACGAATTAAAATAGTTTAATCATAATGCAAAAACGAAACAAAAACAACAATACTATACAACACAAAGTAAATGAACTGGCAGCATAAAATATATGCTGAACTTTCAAACACGTGATTCTAAGAGGAAGATAAATATTTCATTTATATAAGTAAATCCCCAATAATAAGTCATAATCATTATTATATAATGACATGTCAAATGATTATTTTATTTTAAATAACAATCTTAACTTTTGTTAGTAGGGAACTGATATAGATGAATTAACTCTGTCAAATAACAGATATATTAAACCTTAGCGCTCTATTAAGTTCCCCATTTTAACTTTTGACATTAACATGGTAAATGTAATGTCTAAAATCATATCACTATTTAGATGTTTCGCTGTTTAAACCTCTATTTTATTTCTAACACAAATACAAAAGTATTTGTTCCATATTATTTCTATCTCTATCTAGCCCTCCTTAAAAGAGTATATTAAGCAGACTGCGTACGCTACAAGTGAAAGATAAAAGTAAAGACTGGAAGGAAGATGAAGAGGGTGTGAAATAATTAAAGGAGATCGGTAGTATGAAGAAGCAGTGCTATGCAGGATAAATTTTTAAGATTTAAGATTAAACTAACTGTTTAGTACTAGGATAGCCGAGCAGCTACATGCACTTTCTTGAAGGATTCAATAGTAAGCAATGCATAAAAGGATAGAAGGGACAGAATAAATAGAAGGGAGCCAATGACTGACCTCTTTGGAACCTCTGAGTTGACTGGGACTTAATCTGAATTTTGAAATGAAAGTTCATGTCGTAGATATTTGAGGACAATAGGCTTTATCAAATCTTGGCCAGCATCTTACTCCACCTTACGATAAGGAGAAGTTTGAGGACACCATTAGGTTCAATGTATATGTCAGGCATGATGGGTACTTTGGGATACCTTGTTGATCTGTCCTTGTTGATCATTGCTCTCATATTTAAGGGGTTGAGGCCACACCTTGGTTGTCTTGTTTGCTATGTTGCTTTGTAAGTGAGTAAAGTTTCGTAGTGCTGGATCTAGTAAGTGTTTTGAATGCCAACTATATTTTCGATGTAAAATTCATAGGATGACCTTATTTATGTTGAACTGTGTGCTAAAGCGGTTTGAATTGTTTCGTGTATTGGTCTTACATGTTAACTAACATGTATTTATTGCACATACGCGTGATTGATTGCTGACTGGAGATTATACTAAGTCGCTAATGGCTTTAATAAAACCCCGACATTTATAAAAACTGGAATGTTTTCAAGGTTGTTACTTCCTGACCTTACATGCAACTTATCATTTAGTACTACATCACAAAATAAACAGAGTCCATTGACGCTTGTGTTTATGTTGATTGAATAACTTACAGCAGTATCATCGAGACGTTTAACTTTCAGCTGCACCATGTCAAACCTATGGTTCTTTTTTTAAAACAAAGTTTCTTAATCAAAACTGTTAGTATTTATGTTCGAAGCTGTGTTACTCAATGTCTTTATTGGGTTCGCTTTCTGCTGGACTAATTATTGCTGGTGTTAGATAGCATTATATAGACATGATCCTACTTTGGTTCAAGCAGACCATCTTTGGTTTAGATAAAGAATGAAACATCTATGCTTCTTATTCAACCAATTCTATTTAATGTCCTTGTCACCGATTTTCCCATCTAATGTTTATTGAACAATATCAGACATATTGAAAAGGTAGCAATAACTCTAGATGTAAGATAAGGTTCTATTACAAATAAAGCGTGTGTTTCTTTATGGGCATATTTATGTGAAAATCGGTTTCTTAATGATGTCAGCGGACTGTTGCCATTAATTACGGAACAAATGTCAAAATAACGAATTATGGTAATTGTTTTCTATGAATGGAACTTTTACGACACAAAATAAAGTAAACATAAAAACTACGTTTTGACGTTTAATTATAAAATACAAATGCTGATGATGCAAAATAACGAATAGTTTGTCGATTCGCCATCGTTCAGATTTGTCCTTGATTTCCGGTTACTCTGTTTAACCGTTCGGTGGTGATGAGCTTATTCTCTCAATATGATTTAAAAAATATCGTATAAAGTCAGTTTATTGCTTTGTAATAGTAACACATTTAACTTAGTGTAAGAGTTTGGCTGGGCATGATCCCGTTTTATTTGAAACCGCGGGATTTTATTTTAATTCAATTTGGTTTAAGCATGTACATATATCTCTATTACCATGCATTATTGTATTGTTCTTGATTTCTCTGCAATAGAAGCATTTGACTATGATAATTTTTTAATATTCGGTTAGTGTAGTACAATGCTACTTTGTTTTAGTTTTGTTTATACACAGTATTTTTGTTAAACCCTATTTACATCATACAATAATATAAGTATTTAATGCCTGAGAAATCACATTGTATGGTTTTTGATTTTATGTAACTTTTACTTATTATTCTTTCACCTTTAATACACAGTGTACTAAAATTCAATCTTTCCAAACTTCAATGTTGTTATATTTATCTGATCCTTCTGAAAATTGAGAAACGCTTCAGCCGGTGCTAGGGGGCATGAGAGATGTTGCACTTTTTCCATTATCCCTCATGTACAGACTCAATCAAACCGAGTCTGCAGTTTTCATGCAATTTGTAGACAATGAAAAAGGGTAGTGTTAAATGAATCGTCACCTAGTAGAATCGGTCTACTAAAAGTTTGAGAGATCACACGATAGATCGCAGTGGGAAATTGGAGATCACTTGATAGCAATGGAAAAATATAATAAAAAGATGAAAATTGCAGATTCGGTTAATTTATCAATAAGGGACGTAAGATAGTTTTTTGTCGGTATTTCTTGTTACCAAACTAAAGCTTTCAGCACAAGAATAAGAAACCGGCAATGTCAAATACTTAAAACTGGCATTGTTGTTACATTTTTTTTCAAAAAATGTTTTTTTACATTTTTACCATCAAAAAATTTCCAATAAAATTTTTTTTTTTTCTTTGATGAAAATTTTAAGGCTTAGGGGAATATCATGCGGCATAAATATAATGAAAAAAAAAAAGAATCCTTTTTTTTAAATTTAAAAAGTTTTTAAACGATTTCCCTTTACTTAGTCGATTCGCATGTTGTCATTTCTTTACCCAGACAACTTTTAAATGCAGAGATTTTTTAATTGGTTTTCCATTAGTTGTTATCTGTTTGTAAATCTAAACAAGGCGTGCTGGTGAATTATCGATATCTAAACGCTATATATAAACACCGAGATAAGTAAATATGACTTATTGTGGTAGTCCAGACCAGGTGGGGGAAAACATTGGAAAAGTTATATTAGCGCGTTTTGTCGTCTGCTCAATATGTTAAACATGTAATTAAAGAACGGAAAACCTGAGAACTAAAAAGGCCATAACGGGTCGAAAGAGAAATTGTTCAGCTGAAGTAAATCTGTCAGATAAGAGATTTTGGTAAATACAGACACTTTTATCGTCAACGGCTTTTCACTTAGGTGTTCTATATGTGTTAAGACATTGAGAACTTTTAAAGCTATCGGATAATCAGAAGTGGTTTAAAGATAATCTTACTGGTAATTTAAAAGATAACCCGGAGATAAATACTGTATTCATAGTCTACATAACTAGATTTGGAGATGATACATGTAAGTATGTTAATTCTTATATAGTATATAAACATAAAAATCATTGTTTTTATTTCACTTGATATATTATAATAAAAACGTTAAGTATTACACTTATACATGCAGCTATGTAAATGAGTACGAGTGGAATATTTATTTTGTCAGTTAATGGGATCATTTTCTTATTATTCTTATTTTAAATATACGTACTTAAAAATAAAATAAAGATATTTTGAAAATTAAGATATTGATAACTTTTTAATGTCATAATTGTTAACAAATATTACAGATCTGCTCGTTCGCGATTAACAAAAAATATAGATCTGCTGATTGATAGTTTTCATAGGCAGAACGTTTGATTACCTTATCATTTCATATTGTCTAAATTGAACGAGTTTATATCTCATTCACAAATTGATTTTCTTTCCATTATTTGTTTCGAGAACTTCCTAAAAGTAAATATACAATCGCATTTCCTCATTGTTTAATTTTCTATTTAAAAGATGTTTCTTTTATGGCTAACTTATATTCGTGACCTTGTCCGTTATATGAGGACAGGAAGTGGTCTGTGTTATTGATCGAGGTACTCGGGTATCTGTTTGTCTCTCAATAATTTCCTGTCTCAGTGTCATGTTTTGTTGATAATAACGGTTAAAATAGAAATATGTCTACAAATATCACTTATTTCCCGTCTTTTGAACGCGTGTATGGAGAAAGTATTCCCAGTTCACTTTATTAGCTTAAATGAAAAGACCCAAACAATTAAAATACTAGTAATTGGATGTCCGAACTTTCATAGAACCTACAACTACTTGCCTTGTGCCGTATTTATTGAAAAAAAAAAAACAACAACAAAAAACGCACGAATTTGCAAATTAAAAGAGCTCTTTTTATTTCGTATAAAATGATGTCAATTGGTATTATATTTTTCCAGTCGGGGCTTTAAAGTGTATTTAGTTGGTTTTTTTTTTCGGAATACGTTTCATATGGTAGCATAAATGAATAAAAGCATTTTCTCTTTTCTTGTACTAGTAACAATATTTTATTGCACGCTTGTAAAAATTGTGAACGTCTGATGTGGAAAATTAATTTTAAGGATAATCCAATTTCTTTGTATTCATTCTTTCGCTTCTTTTCAATAACCGAGTGATATACGTATTTGAAGATTAATACATTTAAATAACAATAAATATGGTCTGGCTCTTTAATACCCTTTATTCCTTTATTCAATTTATTAGTTTTGCATTATACGGTGACGAGAGAAAAACCGCGTAGGAGCTAATTTAAAAAGTTGAGGTTTTTGTAACTCGAGTCTTTGTCCGTTATTTTGATTGAAAATAGAATTGTACTAATCTGGTCTGATAAATCATGTAAGGTATATGACAGTGAAGTCTGGGGTTCAATGAAAGGCTTCGAGGTGGTAAAACTAGGCAAATATTCCTCTATTAATCATCCTTATTGTAGATAAACTGATAATTCAATATTTCTCTGTTCTGTTTGTTGTTTTGTAATACATCTTTTATATATTTGTTATCAACAGATCACACATGTGTGTTCCATTGATAATACAAGAATGAAATACGTATTGTGTATGTAAATCATGTCAATTTATTTTCTGCTTTTGTATTGTTTAATAATATTGAATTTAACTGTATATTCACAATGGCGTACATCTATCATAAGTTATTAAAGTTTGCAATATACTACGTCTTATAGTCGAAAGAATTATACAAATGTGAACATTTTCATTATAATTACGGCATATTTTCCCCTGTTTATGTCTTTTTCGGATACTCATTTGAGGTCCAAATCAATTGTGATTGTCTATGAGGGTGAGTCATACTATGTGCTGTTCTGATAGGTACTAGAACACTTCCTCAAACACAAGTAGGGCTAGCCTAAAATAAAACAAAAATAAACAAAAACAATAACAGACTAAAAATGTTAAAATAGATACAATGGAAACCGTAAACCGTTTTCTCATAAACAAAAATGAGCCGCGCCATGACAAAACCAACGTTATGCGTTTGCGACCAGCATGGATCCAGACCAGCCTGCGCATCCGCGCAGTCTGATCAGGATCCATGCGGTTCGCTCACAAACCCTATTACAAGAAGAGAAACTGATAGCGAACAGCATGGATCCTGATCAGACTGCGCGTATGCGCAGGCTGGTCTGGATCCATGCTGGTCGCAAACGCACTATGTGGTTTTGTCGTGACGCGGCTCATTTTAATTTAAAATGATGACAGTCATAAGGTAAATCAGCAAATTTCACAACAAACAAAAGACACGAACTTTCCCGGTGAACTTGAAACAATAAGATAATGCGTTAATTGTGCAATAACTGCTATTATTGTAAATCTAGGTAAAGATGACATACAGCCCTTTAACCTGATATGTGCGTATATATCCACCTGTCACGATGATTTATTATGATTGGACGTTCCAGAACATTGCCTTTGTAAACTTTATGAATGAAATAATAGCTGATACAATTACACTAATTAAAATAACACTTATACCTTTCACTGGAGATATTGAGGAAAAAGATAGGTTAACATATATAATTTCTATTCTGCTTTAATTGCGCCAAAAAAAAAGAGTATTTCGACTGAGCGCATTAAATATTGTAAACCCGGGCTAGTAATCATTGAAAATTGAATACGTGATACAGTATCATGTAAACATATTTAAATGTGTTTAAATTACCTCCTAATATAGTATGTCTAACACATTTTATTTGTTTAATTGCCGGTACTTGTATTGTAGTAATATCTATGAATTAAAAAATAAGTGTCATTTTCGTGAATGTATATCCAGCCGAGACTTTTAGATTTACGAAAATATCGTAAAGGTTACAGTTATAAAGACCGTCTTTATGAAAAATTACATACATAATAGAATTAAACAGTTATATGAAAGAAGTTTTTGAAAAACGATTTTGAACTAGATTACCCGACCACTTAAAAACATTTCTGTCAAATTAGTGAACAGTTCTTTACAGTGACCGAATATTGAATGATGATTTAGTCAATACTGTTTTATTAAGTGGCAATTAACTGTGCAGGTGCTTCAGTCACGTGATATGCTTAATTCTAAACAGTACCCCACGCTTTCGTACTGTGCTACATCGTTCTAATCCGTAAATTTAAATAAAAGTCCATATTCAGTGTGACATATTACATATATTTAAGAAACGTATGTAGAAAATTGATCAAGATTATTTGTTCTTGTTTACGTAATCAGAACATCTTATTATATATACATGTAATAATTATCATTGAAATCTCTAAATTGATGGAGGATGTAGCGCTATTTTGATTTGACATGTATTTGTTAACTATCGAATTACATATATAACATATTCATTTACACTTTGATAGGTTCATTATTTTATCATAAAAGTTAAACCACTTCCTTAAAAACAAACATAATGTTGTTGTTTTTCTTACAACATAGATAGTACAGAGGCATCATACACCTCCCCTATAGATATATTATATATACAACTTAAAGTGGTTACTTACATTACAATTAAAGCAGATATTCAGAAAGTATGATAACCAGTTAATAAGTTTGACAATGACATATGTATGCTTTATTCAGAAAAAAGTTCTAGTATAATACTAGGGTGGCAGAAAATGGCGGTTATCTGTTGTTTTCATTGCTGTAAGTTTTCAGGTAGGTGTTGTCAATCAACAGTGGATCTATTAAGGGCGGCGGGCGGGGGTATTTGGTAGTGAATCAATTATTCATTTTGTTCAATCTATTGTTACCTGTTCTTCCAATAATGCATTGCAGAATAAAGTTACCCCATGGGATAAATTAAAAAGTCTACGTACAAACATGTAAACATGTGAAATATTGATGAATGTAGGTATAAATGCCAATATTATCTTGTATACATGATAAAGTACAGAATACAAAAAACCCAGAGATTACCGTCTTGTTTCGTATTTACGACACATTATTTAAAGGTAAACAAGGCTGTCTTGGGTTCTATATAAATACGTACATGTTTCTATACCGTGTTTCATTAAAACAAAATCGTGCAAATTGATGTACTTTAAAATTCTAACCTGACATCCGTGTTGTCTAAGAAAAGAACCCATGCTGTGAAAAAGACCGATTATTTTGCAATATTAAAGTACATGTAAAGCAAGGCAATTTACTTGTGTTGAGGGAATATTACAACTACATGATAAATCATAGTATAACTTTTGTCGTAGTATAACCAATAAATAAACTCTAAAGTTCTTTGGTAGTCATTTATTCGTGTAATGTTGAATGAATGTAGACACGGGTAGTGATGAAGTCAATCTAAATAATGATTAATTTATATTAATTAAACTTCTTTGGATGTATAGAAGTAACAATGAGTTATACAGTTGCTCATTTTCTTTTCATTTCGTGTGACCACCTTTTACCTTTACATAAAAGCATGCAGTTTTTTTTGTATCACTATAGGTCATATATTTATTAAACGTTATAACTTTGAAATCATATTTTCTCAGTTGAAATGTTTGCTATTTAATTGACACTATAATCATTTCGATACAAATCAAATATTTTTATTAGTTTTAATAACATTTGATAAAAAATCTTTTGTAAGTTCAGAAAAAACAACAATTTCAAACATTTATCATTATTCAGTGCTCCTATTGTCAGAAATCTATAGCGCATGCTTTAAGAGATTCAACGTTTTAAGACTTCTTGGAGAAGTGGCTATTAAAATCAAATGGAACTAAACAGATACATTTTAAATGGACTTGTAGAAGTCGTGTTTTTATTTTGGCTGTGAAAACAATTTTAGCGTATATTTTATTTATATAAAACCAAATGTGTTTTTCTTTTCATGAAGTTTGTTTGATGTAATGTAAAATAGTCACTTGTTACGAAGGGCACTGGGTTAATCTAAAGAAATATTTCTAGATTATGTCTGGACATTTTGTTATATGGAAAAGAGATAATCCAACACTTGACCAACTGCGATATGGTTAAATCTGTGACTTTAGTTGACCTT